ATCTCTTCCTCTGTGGAGTCTTATTGACTCCCACTCCAGAACTTTCCTTTGGAATACTCCCCAGAATGAAATGGATTTGTCTTATATCTGTTTGTCCTGCTAGATTTAAGCTCCCTGAAGGCAGGCGCTAGCTGTCCAATCCACTAGAGCCCAGCCAGTGCCTGACACAAGACAGACACTGGTACAACCCTGCAGCTCACTCAGGTTGCCTGGACAACGAGCAGGAGGGGCTAGCTGGGGGAAGGGCTGCATCAGAACTCATCTTCCTGAAGGAGATGGCTTCTTCCTGACAGCCAGAGGAACTACAACGTCCACAGGCCTCAGGTCACTGGGCGGCGAGTTGCTCTCATATTTGCTATTAAAAAAAAACCTTCCCCCAGTACAGCCTCTCTACTCTCCTAGTCCTGTCTCCCTCTTATGGTGACAACGGCAAAAGGGTGGGGGACAATGCCTTCTCCTTTTTGCTGTCCCAGCCTTGTAAGTTTCTCCAAGGAAGCCTATTCCTTAGTCCATCCCGGTGATATGGAAGTTGTCCTGAGCCCAATTGCAAGGCAGGTGGCAACTCTGAAGGGACTGAACCAAATGACCACTACTCATTAATATTCATGGACCAAGTATGATTTTTCTGCCCCCTCAAGAAAGCTTTGGTTATATACTTTGGTTTGGTCATCTACACTGATGACTCCCACATTTACACCTACAGTCTTCATCTCTTCTCCAGACTCGTGTGTGCAGCTGCCTCTTCCACACCTCCAATGGTGTATCTCAAGGTGTCTCAAATTCACCTGTCCAAAACTGTTCTCTTGATCATCTTCACAAACCTAGTTCTCTCAAAGACTTCCATTTCCTCAAACAAAAGTATTAGAATCATCTTTAATTCTTCTTTTTTCAAACATCACAATAATCAATCAACAAATCCTATTATCTCTACCTTTGAAGTATGCCCAGAATCTGACCACCTCTCACCATACCCACTACCACTACTGCAATCTGAGCCACCATCACACCTCTCTTGGTTTCCTGTAGTAGCTTCTTACTTCATCTCCTTGCTTCAGTCTTTGTCCCCGTACAGCCTTTTCTCAAATACACGGGTAGAGTGACTTTGCTAAAACGTAAGTCAGAAATCAGGTGTCCGCTCTGTTAACAATCCTCCAAATGCTTCCCATCTGAAAGTAAAATCCAAAGCCTTTCCATGGTTCACAGGCCTTCACTCTGTGTGACCCCTCCTGCCCCATCGTTTCTGCTCTTATTCTCTCCCACTTACTGTGCCAGCCATGCTGGCCTCCCTACTGTTCTCAGAGCAGCAGCCTTCACCCCACAGACTTTGCACTCACTATTCCCTCAATCTACAATACTCTACCCAGATAATTGCATGGCTAGCCTCCTCACTTCCTTCCAAGTGAGGCCTTCTGCAATCATGCTTGTTAAAATTGTATTTCCACCATGACTACCACCATTCCCTATCGCTTTTTCTCCATAGTACCTACTCCTAAGAAGGATAAGTTTCATGGAAAGGCTTGCAACTTAGTTGGGTTTTTAAAGGTGGAAATGTGATTAGGAAGCAGGGATTACAGAAGTAAGATAAGGTAGACACCAGGTAGTCAGCAAAAATTGTCTTCCAATGGTTCCCTGAGGGTATAACTACACTCTAGTGTAGACTCCAGAAGTGACCTCCGTTGAAATGGAAACTCGGACTAAAATGTCCCCTCTGTCTAAGGCAAAGATTGGTATGCTATCTGAGGTAGTTGGACAAAAATGCCCACAGTATGGAAATGTCTTTTCTTTACAACATAAATCCTTTTGGTTACTGATAGGCAGAATCAAGAGATCAGAGACTGGAAAGAAACAGAATAAAATACAGGTTATTGATCAAGGAAATCCCTTTTCTGAATTGAAAGGCTCAGCTCTGCATGAAAAACTACTTATAGAGCAAATTTGGAAATCCTCAGCAGGGCAAAAAGTAGGCTCAGTCTTGAGATCAAGAAGTGATTGTTAAGGTAACTTACAAAAATGGTTCTTCATCAAAAACAAAACACAAAACAAAAAATGTTCTAAATAAATCATCTCTTTAAAGTACCAAAATCTCGGAAGGAAACTAGTATCTTTCCCTCTGTTCCAAGTTCCTGCCCCCTCCCCCAACATCTCTACCAAGTAAAGGAGAGGATTTAGCTGTAGTTTTGTTTTCAAATTGAAAAAAGTGATGCAGGTATACTTAGCAATATTCACAAAAGGATGTGCTGATCAAGAAAAGTATTATCAGAGCTAATGAACTACTTTCCTCTGCTCATTTCGAACAAGTTAAGAATTCTCATGTATAAAATCTGACAGCTTTGTCTTTTGGGAGCTGTGCAGCTTAAACTTTTTGGTGGCCTTTAAAAATCTGTGGATAAGAATTGAGCAAATATTTTTCATAATAAAAAAATTTGTGAAAAGCTGCATTGGTCTTAACATTTACACAGATTACCCCAGAGTATTACTAATTCTCTTGTCATTAACCATTGTCAAGAATTAAATATCATTTTGTTAACCACTAAGTCTGTTTTAAAATTACTATAAAGAATAAATATAAAACATAAATATTTTCCCCCTGGACTACTTCTTTTTGCTCTGAGCTCAACTTATATTTCATCTTTAGGTCCAATTTTTCATTACAAAAGAAAACTATGCTTTCGAAGTGAATTGAATTACAAGGCTTTCTTATGACTACATTTCAGTGAGTGGGTAAAGAAAAAGCTATTTAATCTAACTTAAACTTTCACTTTAGCACTTAGCTAAACAGAAATTTTCAAAGGAGATTCTGCTTACAGATATGATTAAATACCACATGGTCCCAGTTTCAAGAGAAATTCTTTTTTCATTTTGTAAGTTGAGCAAATGAGCTTATTAGTCAAAGTGAACTTATAAGACCTCTATAGGTTTTATAAACTGAAGCAAACTAGTTCACTTGAATTGCTATGTATCTCCCTAGCATTTTTTAAATTTTTTTATTTATTTATTTTTTTCCCCCAAAACCCCAGTAGATAGTTGTATGTCATAGTTGCACAGCCTTCTAGTTGCTGTATGTGGGACGCGGCCTCAGCATGGCTGGAGAAGCAGTGCATCGGTGCATGCCCGGGATCCGAACCCAGGCCGCCAGCAGCAGAGCGTGCGCACTTAACTGCGAAGCCACGGGGCCGGCCCCCTAGCATCTTTTAAATGCAAGACAATGTATTTGTAGAAAGAATCATTCTTTCTTAGGGGATAATTTACAATGCTCTCATACCAACAACTTAAAATCTTGAATTCTACAGGGCACTTTCATATAAAATGTCAAAGTTAAGGAAAACTTAGACACAAAAAGAAATTTTATAACAAAGTTTTTGGAATATGTATAATTCCATTTACATTCTCAAGATTTTCAACTCTATTTATCTTAAAATTAGTTTCACAAAAATGTTATATGGTTATAATTCAATACCACTGCATAATGTATTTGAGAAATGTCTGGTAACTCTTGTTACTAGGTAATTTCATGATTCAAATCTCCCGTTACTATTTTGATGTCAATAAGCACTTATTAAGCTACCTTTTAATGCAAAACAAACAAACAAAACCCTTTTTCAAAAAGCATCAAACAGACTTACCATTTTAATTTTGAAGATGGAAAAAGCAAAGTCGGAGTAAGTTAAAAGGTCTATTTGACTGCTTGGCTGAGTCTCTAACAAGATAAGTAATTTTCTTGTTGTCAATTCCTATCACCTGGAAAACACTCTACCAGGCAGATAATTGCTGTTCATACCATCTAGAGCAAACTAAAGTAGAAATTAAAGGAAGCCAACTATAAAATCCATGTAAAAAAGAAGAAATAAGCAGCTCAATCAACCGAGAAATAAAGGAGATTGATTACCTCTTTATGCGTCCAGCTGAATACGGCATTTAAATACGAGGACCAAGCTTATCTCATGGTTGTTTTCTTCAAGTGGCTGCATAGAGATAAAGCTACCAGCAGAAACTACCTAAGTTCACAGTCTAGTTCCACAAGTAGATCATAATGGCACCAAACTCATACCTTTTTCACAAGAGGAAGGATTTACTGTCAATACTAAACAGACAGTAAATGAACTGCAAAGTGCGAGGCGAAAACAAAAAACTCATCACACAGACACCCACACTCACACCCCCACACAGACATATTCTACAAGTGTTTCACATTATACTGCGCCAGTTATGGATATCTGCAGGGACTGATGGACACTGAATGGCAATCATCTCCTTATCACCTCCATGGTTGATCACATGTCACCCTTTGCCCTCTACTTCAGCACCTCAGCTCCCAGAAGACTCACAGGACTCAAGGCCCATTTCTTATAAGATGCTTCAGGATTCTGTGAGCTGTTGATGTTACAGGTCATGTCCCGTAATCTTGGACCAACACCACACAAGCTTAGATGTCTTCTAGTTTCCAGTTAGAAAGAACATGCAAAAAATTCCTTATCAGACAGTTGGCAGGAGTATGTGGGAAATTGATTTTTTTATGTCATATATGTAGGTAGAAGTTCCCTGGCTTCAAAGCAAAGTTTAGAGGAACAGTACACAGCTACTAAAGACTAACTGAGTTCCAAAGTTTATCATTGGCTAACCTCACATTATTTTACATCTGTGATACAAAGCAGATATTTAAGAAAGGTGAACATATGACCCTAAACTTATGCTTGACTAACAAAGACAGATTTTTCCCTGAGTCAGCTACGCCAGGTTTTGCTGCCCTAAGACAAGTTGAATTCAAAGACAGCAAAGCATATATGAAAAAAATGTCCCATATTTAAAAAAAAAAAAAAGAAAATCCCACAGTCACCATTCTGCGTGCTACTCAGGCAATGAAAAAGTATACCCAATGAAATTATTTTTCACCATTGGTTTCAGGATATAAGATCATTAAAATTAGAACATGCTAAAAAAATTCCATTATAGTTTCATGAAATCTGCCTGCTGTGGAAAAATATCAAAATGCAGTTTCACAGAGGCTGATCATGTTAGAGTATAATATTTATTAAATTTCATCATTTATGATCACTGTGTTATAACCAACTTAACCCTGACATAAACTTTGACATTTAAAAACAGAGAATATACTGATTTTTCAACTGTTTTGCTTACATGTACTTTTCAATTCTCATGCAGTGCTCATAATTAAGAGATACTGTACATTAACCCTCTCATATTATACTCATTAAGAACCAAGTTCAGAGGGTAGAAAAATGCCAACATAAATTCATTTTCCATAAAATGCCCATGGATGCATTGTCACTGTTCCTTCTAATTATATACTTATGGTACATTCTTCTGTAACAGGTATAACTGTGGTCACATAACAATAGTTATGACGAGGCAATAATATCAATTCAGGAAAGGAATACAACGAAAGAGACTAAAAGTTGAAGAGAAGAGATCAGAGCATATAAAAGTCATTTGAGAACACCACACAGACTTCAGTGTTTTCCACTCTCCAGTTGGAAAGAACATGCACAAAGTTTTCCTAGCAGACAGTTGTCAGGAGCGCATGAAAAATTGGCTTTCACGTCACAGATGCTGAGAGAAGATCAATGCCACTGAGGAAAAAGAATTGTGCTCATTATCTTTTGGGTCTGTCTATATCATCGATAGCTGCTAGAAGTTTCTGTCTTGCTTTCTTATTGATATGGGATCCCAGGCAAACATTTACCAGATTGATCAGCTGCTTCGTTGAATATTCCTGTTCAAAAAAAAGAAGATCCAAATTTAGTACTAAAAGACATGTATTTGATCAATGCAATGAAAGAACAGGCCGATATTAAGGTCTCAGTGGATAGTTACTGAGCACTACTAACCAGTCAAAAGCAGTGGAAACTACAGATGAGACATGAAAGACAAATTGCTTACTGAGCTGTAATAACAGGGAATAAGGATACCATAGTATACATTTGAAACAGGAAGCACTAGAATTTTTTTAATCTGGCAGATAATCTGACATGCCTACACTTTTTGTTACTTTTAAGATCACACACTTTATGCTCATTTCTGTGATAATCTTTGCTATTAAGTTATCAAAATACACCGACACTTCAATTTTTAAAATGCTACTGAATAAGTATTTCTGGCACTCTCTATTTTGCAAACATTTTAGGTAAAATAAAAAAAATCTCCAACCACAAAACAACTCTTCTGAGATATAATAAATGAATAAGGTAACAAAGATCAGAAAGTTAGTAGTTTTTAAACCCTCATATTGTAATTGGTAGCTAGTAAGTAAAATTAAGACTATAAGTATTTTTTGCTGTACAAATCTATTTGGTTCCTGAATTTCAGATAACAAGTTGCCAGGATGAGAATGAACAGGGACTCATCAGAAAGTTTTACATATTGATTTGGTTCTGGAGGTTGAACAGCAAGAGTTCAGGTAGGGAGGGAGAGTTGTGTACTATTATCTAATAAGAAAAGAATATGTCTTCACTGGAGGTAACCAGTGAAGATAGTGCAATTTCAAAATATGAGAAAGAGTTCGTTTTAAAAACTCAGCAAGCTGCTCAGTTCGTGTGTCTGGCCTCTGAGAGCACCTGTAAGCACCTGGTAAATTCTCTCAGGTAATCAGTCAACACCTAGCGAGTGCCATCGTCATCAAGCACCAGACTAGACATCATGAGGAGCTCCCTGAGGACAGCACAGTCCCTGCTGCCGGGAAAATGTCACTGAATTACAAATATTACTTAAAGCTCTTTCAAAATACTAAGCTAAAAATTTTAGTCCACTATATTAAAAGAGGAAACCCTAAAATGGGCATTATTCTTGCATCAAATCATGGATATCTAAGAGCTGTGCTTACTCCCCTCAGCTACTTGTACTCTATTCCCACACCCCTTCCTCACTCCCAACCCCGAAGCGTTTGCAGCTTCCTTTACTAAATGGATTCCAGTAACATTCAGCAGTCCATCTGCACCTGTCTTAGCCTTTTGGTTCCCAAATGGCAGAGCTCAGTGGGACTAAAAGTGATGACATTTGTCTCAGTTCTGGTGTATTGATCAAAATCTTTGACAATAACGTGTACATTTCTACTTCACTCCCAAAGATCTGAAACTGACCTACAGTGGGCACATTTACACAAAACTCAGGCTAATGTCCATGCTAATATTCATTCCATTTTTCTAGAGTGCTGAAACCAGAAAGAATGAACCTGATAAAGTAAATACAAATAATTCCTTATTTCCTTAGTCAAATGAAATAAAAATTTACTTAGCTTTTACTCATGGTGTTTATAGCACAAACAAATGTGAACACTAGAGTTAGTGAAGGAATAAGATTTGGTGATAATTTTAACACTTCCTATATTTTCATTAAATCCGTCTTCACATACTGCCTATCTAGACAAATGATAAAGCAATCATACAGAAAAGCTCCGGTATTGAGCATGTTCTAGTGATATATGTTGATCTGAACTGTGTCAAAAATTCAGCATCCTAAATAACACTTAATAAATAGTATTTTTCTCTACTTATCTATATATCCATACAAAAGAAATATAATCTCACCTATATTTAAGGTAAAATCTAATGGAAGATGGAAGTTAAATTTAGCCACTTAAATATTTTCAATCATCACTACTACACGTCTGTGTTCAAGATGTCACCAATTCATTGTTGAGGGCCACAAGAAGATTTAAGTTATATCATAGACTTTAGCTTGTGAATCATTTCAATGTTGCTGTATTCAACTTGTCTTGATGTTCACCAACTTCAGCCTTTTCCTACAACACAGCTACAGGATAAACATAGCTAAAGCTCAGACTCTGGCTCTCTTTCTAGATAATTACTGGTATAGTTCAAAGGTCTCAAAAGGATTTGATTAGGCAAAGGGCATTGCACAGACACAGTGTGAATATGGTAAAGCACTGCCCTGAGTAGTTCATGCCAAAAAAGCAAATGTTTCTTTATATCTCATGCTCAAGACTTTGAATTATATAATACACCAGATAAGAACAGCACCAAGGAAAAGGAATAAAAACTGAATTAACAGGTTTCCAGCTCTCACCCTGTGCTCTTTGATCCAGCGTTCCATGTCATTCTCTGTTAGGTAGTAGGCTTTAATATAGGTTTCCACAAATTCTTTATCAGGAATGGGTCTAATATCTGTTAGTTTTTCAAGTTTCATTAAAAACTGTTGAAAATCCAATTGCATCAAGGCACGACCCTCATTACTACACTTCTTGACGTTGGCATATCTAAGATACACAATAATAAAAAAATATAAATGATGAGATGGTTAGAAAAAGAAACCTTTAGGTACTTAAACTTTTCTTTAACCCGTATTTGGACAGATTCTCAGAAATGAGAGAGTTACAGGGAAAAGAGCACATGAGCCTTGAGGCAGAAGATTGGGTTGTGCTCAGGCCGTGTCACTCAGCCGTCATTTTACCTCTCTGGATCTAGTTTCCTCACTTGCAAAGCAAAGAGATCTAATAACTTCTAAGGTTCTTTGCCATTCTACAACCCACAGTGCTCCATACTCAATTAACATAATCATCTGTAAGAAAGTTAAACTGGTATTCCAGTTAATCGGCTGCCAAGAATTATTTAAAAACTAAGCCATGAATACTCCAAAGTAATACTAGTTTCATAAAAGTGTTCGATATTGTAACTACTCAATGCAAAGGAAACAAATGAAATAATCCTCCTATGAACATTCCGCGAACCTAAGGAAACATGTGAGCATATAAGCATAGAAGTATATACATATTTTTCATAATAAAACATTTTATAGACTTATTCTGACACCCTACACTACTGAAAAACTATGTGTTCTAAGGTGGACTAGGAATAAGAATGAATATACTAACACTAACAGTACAACATTTTATTACTCATAAGTCAGTGTCTCATTCCCTCAATCATACAAAATGTGGAGAATCCAATCCTAGGGAATGAGGTACTTCCCCTAAGGAAATTTGTGAGAAAACTGAAGTTTATATTGTTTGAAGTGACAAAACTTTTTTTTAATAAAAAGTATTTTATACAGAAATATAACATTTATTATTCACTTTTCTATTTTATTAAACAAATTTATTAAAAATACTTTTCAGTCCAGATTTTTTGACACAGAGCCACTTTGTAACTTATAGCACTGTTGGTTTCAATATAGAGTGCCAAGACTGTGGTCAGCTTGTCACCGTCACCTTTCCACTTCCTAATATAGTACATTCTTTTTTATAGCAAATAAGATCTGAAGAGAAATCAGATAAATGGTAGTGTGAAAATTCAATTGATGTGTAATTCTAGATGACTGTGAATGGTCTTTGAGATAGTAGTTTGCTTTCCAGGGATATTTTAAATGTATCACTGACTCTCATTTGTGTTCTAGATGTTATGGGCAGAATAAGCATGGTCTCTGAGTAAGTGGGAAAATTACTATTGATAGACCTGTAAACTGAACATATGAAAGATGTAAACAGTTTATAATGACATCATAATGATTTAATAAAAGTGATATAGTGGTTATGAGGTTGATTTTGCCATCAGAAAGTCAGGAGATCACATGACTTCTTGCATTTGAAAACTGTGAACTTGGACAAGTTATTTAACCTCTTTAAGCCTTAATTTTCTGAAGCTAGGTTTTCTCATTGATAAAACACAGAATAATAGTACTATCAAAGAAAGTTTATGTAAGGATTTGGTGATATAATGCTGTGAAGTGCTTGGTTCAGTAAATGACACATAGTACTCAATAAATGTTATGTATAATCATCATCATAATAATTACATTATTAGGTAATGATAATTATTATTAGTTTAACTTCCAGATAACCATTAGATGCTGCATTCCTCACTCTGCTGTTAGCTGGTTCTGGGTCACCAGCAAGAAAAGGAAGCATAGACAGAGACGGCACAGTGGGGTTTAAGGTTTTCTCTATATTGCAAAGTCAAACCTGAATGATTATGCTATTGATCACTATCTCTACCTATTCTCTCCATCCATTAGTGATAATACATAATGTCATTCATATATTATGATTTATCATTGAAGAATCAGATCACGCTTTCAAGAAAAACTTACCCTTCCACAATAGTTCTATTAGCCAGTCGTATACAGTGTTCCCAAAGTATATTAGACACGGGCAAGGGTATCCGAACTCTCTTAGAAACCTCATTTAACCTCCTGTTAAACTGTTCAAATTCCTAAGACGACAAAAATCATGGCCATATGTGAATATAATGCCACACTGTTTCCCATCTTAATGGCAAAAAAGATTTAGAAAGACTCAGCATCGAGCCAAGTAAAACAAAGAGAGATAATGCCAAAGATAATTTGGACTTAGTGTGAAGTTTTTTGTTTTTTGTTAAGTATATCAAATTGAATAAATTATGTTTTAATACAGAGTACACTACATTTCATCTCAAAGGAACTAAGTGTCATTAACTGATGAAACAATGCTAACAATGTTCAAATGTTTCTACATCTCAAATTTTTCTATGACTATCAGTATGTATAAAAGAGCTTAATCATCTAATACGTCTTTAAAAATGTCTTCAAGAAGCCCAGTTTCAATAAAATGTGATAATAAGCTTTCAACTCATAGTAAACTATTTCTAATTTGTGGCTATACTCCTCAAACAGCGATCCAATAAATTATTCTGCTTCCTAAACAGTCTTGAAAAGTAAATAAATTATTATGTATGATTCAAAAGTCATGAGCTGCAAATTTATAGTAGAAAGAAAAAATAAAACATAAAATATTTTGTATTACAGAAAAACTGAACATTTTTTATTACTTATTAGTAACTTTTATGATACCACTCTACTAAAACTAAATGTAACCAATGTAGATAATTCCAACAATTACACATAAACAGCATATGGTTCACCCTTCAATAAATGTATTTCTGGTTTCTTTGAACTATTATCATTAAAATATGTTCACTTACAAAAGGAAAGGCTGTTGATCCTTCCTTGACAAAATGACATTTTTTTCTTTAGTTTCCTCAATAGACAAGCTGTACAATGCTTAACAAGTCAAGACTGACATGTGTTCAAATTTTCTAATAAAACACAGGAGGAAAAAAATCTAATCTGATCATCACCAGTCAAGCTACCATATAATGATTGTGTTATCCTTTGCTTTTCTGCTACTCCCTAAATCACTGTTTTTTGATGATTTATTTCTGACAGTTAACTGCTTTTAATTACTTATGAAAAAGAAGTGAATCTTCAATCCACTAAGCTTACTTTTAAAAATCAAAGTTAAAGACATAATTGCTCTTCATCGTTTTCATCTCCTGAATCTAGCAGAGCAGTAGTATTCGCTACTGTATTTACGCTTCGCTACAGTAACTCTGTTTTGGATTTCAAGAGTCATGATTCAATACATTCCATTAATATTTTAAAGATAATGTTATATGCTTACTGTATAAAATGTCATTCTACTCATTGCTAAATTCAATGTTGAGAACGCTTGCTGTTAAATAAATAATAAAACCATTTCATGTTCCCTGTGATCTTCTGGGGCAGTAAATGCAGACTGTCTTTACCTAAAGGTTTGGACTTGGAAAAGTAATAGACAGAACAAAACTTATGAAAGTTTCTTTATGAAAGAAGGTCTTCAGCTGCTAAAAACTGGGTTCAGATTAATAATCTGAATAACACCGGTTCTCTCTTATAATATTAATGTTTCTTGGAATTTAGAATAACTGAGGCAAGCAGCTTCCTTCTAGTATGTATATTCACTGAGTGCAGAAGTCTCTCTTTTCCTGCATCCCTATGAGTACCACAGTGGCATGTCATAAAAAACAGAATCAACTTTTCAAAAACAGACTTGTTCAAACAAGAGGAGTGTGATTATTTATAAATTACATTTATCCTTACATTCCAAATTAAAATCCCCAATTGAAATCTCCTGGGTACTCTAGAAATCAAAGTTTCTCCAAGGTGGCAATTATAGAGCATGCTTATTGTCACTCACCCCGTAGATCACAGGCTAACTCCTAGACACTGCTAACTGGTCTTGACACCCTTAGTTCCTTGATGGGAACAGTCTCACAGTCTTCAACCAGCCCTCCAGAAGGCTACCATATGTTGCTGGGAGCTGGCACGCTAGATGAATTCTGCTGCTATCTCTGTTTTGATCTTTGGCTTTGTTTACTGATTGTCAAGCGTCCCAGGCTATTATTTATTGCCTTGGACTAAGCAGGTAAGAATGTTTCTGTAAGTGAGATAACAGTCAGAAGCTTAAGAAGGGCCAGTTTTCTTTTCACTGACAAATATGAAAACCAAAATTTTTCTAAAAGCTGTTTTCATTTTCTCAGATGCTCTTTGCTCACCTCAGATATCCACATGGCTCATTTCCTCACTTCCTTCAGGCCCCCCCTCAATTCTCACTTTATCAGAGTCTTTCTCTGACCACAAGTAAATAAATGGTATTCTTCCCCCACCCACACCCTGCCACTCTCTATCCCTCTTTGGCTCGTTATCTATTTTTTCACAAGACTATTCATCACCTGACATTATATCTTAATTTATCTCTTTACTGCTGTCCCCACAATGGCACGTAAATTCCTTGAGGGCACATAAGTTCTTAATTCACAACTATATTGCCAGCACCTAGATCAGTGTGTGGCACATGTAGGGTGATCTATAAATATCTCTTGATGCATAAATGAAAAAAATGACTACAGTTCTTTCCAGAACACTTATAAATTGTAAGTCATTAAATGTAAAGGTGTTTACATGACATATTGCAAAAGTAATGTGATTTCTGGAAAAAAAACACTTAGAATAATCAGGGGCATGGTCTCTTGCTAATGAATATATACAACTATAGAAATATCTTCTAATTAAATAGAAATACCTTCTTGTCACTACGGTCATGGCTATTGAGTTTTCATACTATGAAAGTCAGCCAAGACATGCCAATCAAACACTAACTCTAAACGGGAAATTAGTGAGCAAAAACAAAAAATCTACAAAGTACTCCTGGGTCTAAAAGAACACAAAATTTGGAAGGTAAGCCTATTCCAATTCAGGGACGAATTGGATTATCATGGACGAATCACTGGACAAATTAATAAATCACAATGCTAGAAATGTGGTAATAACTATAATCTCACATACAGCTCTACTTTAGAGCTATTGCAATTATAGGAATACTTCTCTTAGTAGAATCATCTTTGACAAAGATGCTTCCCAGAGTACTTGCCTTTAACAATGCATCTACATATATGTTGTGCTGTGACATAATTTCTTTTACATCCCATTTCACATTAGCCATTAGGAGCAGCATCTGTTCATAATCAATGGCTTTACCAGCTACAATCCAGTAAATTGGCTTGCGTAGTTCACTGGCAGTTGAGACTGTCTGAAATAAATTTTACAGAAATGAAAACAAATATTTTCTAAAAGTATCAAATTCATAAAGAATATTTTGTTTCTATTTCCAGTATACATCATATCTAAAAATGAAACATTTGGAGACTTAAATTATGAAAATAGTTTAACTCATGGGCAAAGGTCTTACTCAAAACATAATTTTGAAACATTCAATAAATTTGAGACCATTGATGCTACAACTATAAAAGAACTACATATTTTCATGGAGCAAATATTTCTCAAATTCTTTCACTTCTCTCCATGTCCACTCCCACTACCCTACCTCAAGATTCCATCATCTCTCAACTGTATTTCTGGAACAGCCTTCAAGCTGGTCTCTCTGCCTCTAGGCTAGCCGTCTAAAGTCCATTCTTCATACTGCCCCCAAAATACTTTTTCTAAAACACACCTGACCATGCTACTCATCTGTTTCAAATTTTCCAGTAGCTTCTCAGTACCCTCAAAGTAAAGTCCAATTCCTGGCTGAGAGTGCCGTGCATCACATGGCTCCTGCTTATCCCTCCAGTCATCTTTCTCATCACTAGCCCTCTTCCCTGCTCTGACAATCTGAGTTTTCCTCAGCTGCTCACATGCATCATGCTCTTTCTCACTTGTTGGTCTTCATATAAGCCATTCCCTTAGTTTGGAATATACTCCCAACTCACCCGGCTGGTCCAGTTTAAACATCACTTCCTCCAGACAGCCTTTCTAGACAACCTTCTCCCAACCACACCCCCTTTCCTCCTCCAGTCAAGGTTAACTACCCTGCCACTGTTTCTTTCCCTTATCATACTTTATTGTATGGCTCTCTCTCTCATTAGACTAAAAGTTATATGAGGTGCTCAATAAGTATTTATTTAACACAGGAATTCATGAGTGAATAAACGAATATTCTAATCCAGCTCTCCTGGGATTTGGTGATCAACTACTAGTAAAAAAAAAAAAAAACCCTAAATACCATACGACAGTCTTATCTGGCTCACAGTTGAAATGATATACAGATCCATCTCTGACCTGAGAATAAAACTGCTGAAGGAAGGGCTTTTTGACTGCAGGCATCACAGCATCCAGATGTGGCTGAAGGAACTCGAACTGTTCAGCCAAGAATACCCTAAAGGGAATAAATAACCCACTGTATAAACAAAGTGTAGGATTTAGATCCTGCCAATATTTTTGTATAAGTAATCTTTAAGATCTCTAAGCAAAAGTTTAACAACTAAAATGATTGTCCACTTTAGTGAACTGCCTTGTACTACTACTTGACACGCTCATTTACAATCTACACAAAAATTAATGCTGAGCTGATGACTGGATGTGAGCTGAGGCAGAAGGAGGGTGACTTCAAAGGAGCTAATGTGGATACCACAAGGTGTAGAGTTATGCTGCTTTGCATGTAAGAGATGAGCACAGATAACACAAAAGATTGAAGAAAAAAGACAATGGCATTTTTTGAAAGGTTATCTTTTAAAGACCCCATTTAACTATACACAACAGATCTTTGCATTCACAGATTTAACATCTGACACTTTTCAGAAGTAACACAAACATTCCTAACATGCAACAAACTGTAACTTGGATGAGACGTACACGTGAACTTCAGGTCAGGAGGCTGGCGTGCAGGAGTGGGAGTCACTCGGCTGGAAGACGGCGGGCAGCCGCACTGTTTTTCTCTTTTTGTTATGTACACAAAACTCTTAAGTTATATTAGACTTCATCTTATGGAAGAAGTTATATGCTTTAATTGTATTAAAAATTGGATTTATAAAGGTCAGGAAGCATTCTTGTGATGTCGAGGGTCGACTAAATTTAACACTAAACTGACAACGTAACTACAGTTTCTCTAGAATCACAATTTGATAGGAAAATATAAAGTACACTGTAACATGCTTTTTTAAAGTTTTCCTTAAAGCAAGAATCATGTTGCTAAAGACTGAAACTTAAAAGATTTCCTCCTTTCACTTATACAACCGAAAACCAACCATACAGTTTTAAAAATCAATTGGTAATCTATTTTAGGATATACTTCTCAGGAATACATGTGATATTTAGAAGTACGAGATGTATACAGCTAGAAGTCTGACTAAGTTAAACAATGCTTACTTTTATGACCCTTCTTAAATATTTAATGGCAAAGTAACTATTTTTAACAACTTACAAGGATTCTGTGGCTACCACTCTTTCCGCCAACCCATACAATGTATCCCCAGATGTCAAAACCACTAGGTGACTGAGGTGTGGGCTTGGAACCTTCTCCTTTCTCTCTTCTGCTGCTGTGAGTGTGGCAGTAGGATCAGCTGAAACTTCCTGAAAATACAACACACATACACACACAGCCTGAAATAGCAAATCTAACAGCAACAGACCACGTGATTTTACAAAACTAGAACTATAATTAAAATACTCTTAGGCCCACATTAATTACATTTAGTTTCAGTTCTTTTTTTTCCCATCCTTTTATATTTTTTAACCACTGGAACTTTCCTTTTTATACTAAGTGAAAATGATCCAACTCTATATGCTATTATCTGTGCATGACCCAAGTTGGCTAACACAAGGAATCTTTATGAATTGACACGTGTTGCATAGAGACAATAGTGAGATGCCCTTCAAGAACATGTAAATGACGGAAAAGAGATTGTCCCTCAAGGACCAAGTTGGTAAAACCCCAAATCATGGTGTAATTAACCATTTTACACCCAAACCTTAATCAAAGTAACTTTGGTATAATCTCAAGAAGGCAGGACTAGAACGTAGTTATAAACTGAAACAGAACCAGCTGAGTTGTATTTGTCTGGGGACAGATTATTAATGAGAAGGAAGACGGTTCATGGGAATAAAAGAAAAGGATGCCCAAAGAGCAGGGTGTGTTGAGCTTTAAAAGATCCTCAAAGAGGGGCTGGCCCCGTGGCGTAGCGGTTGAGTGAGCGTGTTCTGCTGCTGCCGGGCCGGGTTTGGATCCCGGGCACGCACCGAGGCACCGCTTGTCAGGCCATGCTGTGGCAGCGTCCCATATAAAGTGGAGGAAGATAGGCACAGATGTTAGCCCAGGGCGAGTCTTCCCCAGCAAAAAGAGGAGGATTGGCATGGATGTTAGCTCAGGGCTGATCTTCCTCACAAAAAAAAAAAAAAAAGACCCTCAAAGAAAATTATAGCACAAAAATTAGATACAAACAAATCTAAAAGTGTACAAAATGTAAATGTAGTTTAGTTTTGAAATCAATGACACAGTCACAAATCTCCAACATTTCCCATATGAATAAAAGAGACATCCAATGTATAGGATTCTGGGAGTATAATTTAGGTTTATAAACTTAGTAAAATGGAAATAAAACATCATAAAACCTTTCAAGTTAGAAAATGGTTTTATTCTTCTTTAGTTCTTTTTTATATCCTATCTTCTACTAAAGATACTGTCTCTCTTCAATCTCTAATTAGTCAATTAGCATTTAAAGGTTATTTGGGGAACAACTGTGCTTTCTCTAAGGAGAATCAGGAAAAGGGAACTATGCAAGTTAATCAGTGTCACAGCTCCATTATTAAAAAGGAGAATAATCACCCCACTCCTGCCCCCCCCAAAAAAAACAATCACAAAATTATATACTGTTTGGCACCAATCAGTTGCCTGCGCTATTTAATTTAATCACCACCTACCAGACTGTCCGAGTGAGGAAGCTTGGAATCCTTCATGACTCCCCTTCTTCCTCATCTCCATCATGCCTAAACAGGCACCTTCCTCACATCACTACTACATCAGACCAAGGACCCACAGCATTCTTGACTGGACCATTCTAAAAGTCCCCTAACAGAGACCTCTCCCTCTAGCTTCCCCTGTTTCTACTCTACTTTCCATACAGTTAACTGGCTTATTTCCAATAATATTCAAGTGATCTTTCTAAAATGGAGACGCGATCACACCACTTTCTAGTTTAAAATGTCTCAATTGACTATCCATTCCTTACAGGAAAAAGCCTAAACTTGTTACCATGATACTACTCCTTTACAGCTGACACCAGCTACCTTGCCAGCCTCATTTCGAGGTAATCTACGCCCCTCAGGTCTAGCCACATGAGACTACTTGCTCTGCTGTCCTACTGACACTCCTGTCTTACTAGCTCTCTTGCCCTTGTCTGCCTAGCTCTCGTCTCTTCATTTTTTAAGTCTGAGCTCATATTTACCTCCTTTCTACAACTTTCTCAGTCTTTCAAAAAGAATTAGTACCTTACTTGTGTTAACGTTATCTACGCATGTACTTATGTCTGTATGTGGTACAAAGTGCACTTTATCAGTTGTTGTTTCCTGACTCCTCTACCTCATTGTGAGTTTTTGGAGGTTAGGGACCAATTTCACCATCTTTGTATCTCAAGACCTTGGCATGCCTCCTGGCACTAGCAGGCCATCAATCAGTTTTTTGTTTTTTTTTTTTTTTTTTTTAAGATTTATTTTATTTTTTCCCCCCAAAGCCCCAGTGGGTAGTTGTATGTCGTAGCTGCACATCCTTCTAGTTGCTGTATGTGGGACTCGGCCTCAGGATGAACGGAGAAGTGGTGCCTCGATGCGCACCCGGGATCCGAACCCGGGCCACCAGCATCGCAGCGCGCGCACTTAACCACCAAGCCACAGGGCCGGCCCATCAATCAGTTTAATTGATGGAGATGATGATAATAACGATGATGGTAAGAGTTTTTACTTCCTTTCATTCTCTTTCAAGCCCATTCCAATCAGGCTTTTGTCTGCCCTACTCCAAAGAAACAGTCATCCAGGTCCCCAATGGCCCCCTTATGGCCAAATTCAATAGTCAATTCTGAATACTCATTTTATTTAACAGATCTGTAGCATCCTACATGGCTGATCCTGGAAAACTTTCTCCACTTAGTTCCCAGAACGCCATACTCTCCTGGTCTTTCTCCTTTGCCACTGGGCACTTCTCAGACTCCTTTGCTAGTCTGTCCTCCTCTCCCTGACCTTTAAACACTGGTGCGCCCTAGAGTTTGGTCCTCACACTTCTCTCACTTACATTCTACTCCCTAGATGATTTCATCCAGTCCCAATTTTAAATGCCATCCACATGCCAACAGCTCAGAATTTACATACTAGCCCTGACCTCTCTCTCACCTTTAGTGCATTTAACATTTCTGAAACTGAACTCTTGATGTCCTCCTCAAATGTGTCCCTCCTAAAAGTCTTATCCATCTCCAGTAAGGGCACCTCCATTCTCTAGACGTTAGATGTCATCCTTGGCTCCTCCCAGTGTCATACCACACTTACAACCCATCAACAAATCTTGATGTGTCTACCTTCAAAACAGATCCAGAATCTAACTATGTCTCACTACTTCTCCCACTAATATTTCGGTACAAGCCACCTCATCCCTCTCCTTAACTGCTACACACTGCAGCCAAAATAATTCTCTTTTAAATAATTAAGTCAGATCATGTCAATTCTTCTGCTTAAAGCTCCTCAATGGCTTCCTGTCTTCATTAGAGTAAAATCCAAAGGCCCTACATGATCTAGGCTCTGGCTACCTTTCTGGTTTCATCTGGTCTCATCTACCCCTCTCTTGCTTACTTCATTCCAATTATACTGGCCTCTTTGCCGTTTCTGAATAGGCCAAGCATGGTCCCATCTCAGGGCCTTTGCACTCCTTATTCCCTCAACCTGAAACACTTTTCCCCAAAATAACCTCTCTCTACTAGAAAATAAGCTGCATCTGGGTAGAGAGTTTTCTCTGGTTCTCCTCTCCCTACCAAAATTGTATCCCAAACTCTCAGAACAGTGCCTGTCAACATATATAAAGTGTTCAATAAACAGGCACTAAATAAATGTTTGCTGAATAAATGAATTCTCATCCAGGTGACTCACTCCCCTATATTTCCTTCAAGGATCTGCTTCAATGTTACCTTCTCAGAGGAGGTAAACAATATCACGCTCTTTTCCTCCTCTTTGTATCCTTCTTTCCTAGTTCTTGGTAACTCTCAACACAATCTGACATTAAATTAGATATTCATTTATTCCTCATCTGCCTCTTCCACTAGAGGGACCATCACTCTTCCACAAAGGACATAGGAACTGAAGATATATTTGTTGAACGAACTAATAATAAAAATACCTTTCAACTGCTGTGTATCCCCTGAGTCTTGTACCCTCATCACAGAGCTCCTGGCCTTCTGTCTACTTCCAACGCCTCCTATAGCACTCTGTATTTTCCTCTTAGTTCAGAGGTGTGAATACCCATCTCAGAACAAGTCAAAGAATAGTGAGAAGCCTGAAACCTCAAAACAAGAAAAACTAATAAAAGAATTCAGGGGTGAGATAACTCAACTTGGGCAAGATGGCTACGCTAGCCAAAGTGGCCCCAATGGGATAGAAAAAGAATAACAGAAAATAATTCCAGAGAGGTAGATTTGGGCTGCATGAAAACAAAGCACATCCTATCGGGCAGAAGGGTAGGGAGGAAGAGCTGCTTTGGGTGGTTACGAGTTCTCTACGGAAGGAGAGGTTCAATGAGAAGCTGACAGCTACTCGGTATGTATGAACACTGTACAGGTTAAATGAGCACAGATAAGGTTCCTTCTATGATTTTATGATTAGAAACCTGGAGTATTATACTCCACAAGAAGAACAAAATCTCCTTCTAAGCATCAAACATGCCCTCTTTTAAAATACTTTGCAATTATACTAACAAAACCTGGCATGAATTTTCTGCCAATATTGTACAATTTCAAACTCAAAATAGCTCCAAAATAACCAGGAATACCACACATTTATAATACTGGAGTCACTTTCAAATTTCATTCTTTTATGATTAGATATCACCATATATACAAAATATTTATAAAACTAAAAGTTTTTTTGAATTTAGATACTAACTGGTTAATTTAGGGCAGAAGAGGGAGGTGGTGCTAGAAGGTGATGGAAGGCAAGGAGAGGGTGTATCTGTAGCTGGAGGAAAATGCGGTTAATCTCTGGGTATGACAGGAGAGGCCCAAAGCACTTCCCAACAACCTCCTTACCTACCTCCAGTTCAAATATGCTGAGTTTCCCCTTTGCTCACAGAGCTCTCTCACAAAAACATTCTTACAGAGATCACTGGAATTGTTGCCCCCACTTCAAAAGTTTTCATTTGGATGCCTTCCTTTCTCCCCAGTTAACACTGGTATTTTAGGCATAAAAATTATGGTAATTATCTGCTTAACGACTAAAGTTCTGTGTTTACATTTAGGGAAATATGCTTGAAGAGAGCAGGAGAGTCACAAAAATGTCAAGCTGATATAAATAAGTAGTATGTGCTTATTGTGCACTTAAATGGCAAAGCTCCTACACTGGATCAGTGTTTCAGCTTACACCAGTTCAATAAGGAAAGGATACAGAACTCTTTGAAGACTCTGAGAAATGGAACCTAATCAATCTTTATTCTCACAGTCAAAGTCACTTTTTTTTAGCCTTTTCTGCCACTAATTTATTACTACAAAGAGAAGTCATATTTATAGACTTTTCTGGACCAATTTAAAACACATTTTTATTATCAAAGATTGAAAGTTGGCCAAAGGTCTTAAAGCAAACAATTTAGCATCACCAAGTGGATAACTAAAAACTCATATTTCTGGTGCCATTGTCACCCACACCAGCTTCCTCTTCTACTCTTCCCTTATCAGACTCCTTTTCTTAGACTTTTATTTGAGGTGTCAAACAAATTTTCTTAGTTTACAATGAATTTATATGATAAATGATTTCAGGTGGCATATTTAAGACCATGATGATTCCATTTTGCCTTTTAGAGCTTAAAGAGAAGCAAAACTTGGAAGATACATATGGAGAAAATAAAATTACCAAAAAAGTGCTTATTAAAATTTTAACTAACAGGAGAAATATAAAGAAAAATACTATTTCCATCTAGTGGTTCCATATTGATAGACTATAAATTATTTTAATAGTCAAAAAATACATTGAAGAGCAAGAAACCAATTAATGTTCTCTGTCAATGTAGATGCAAATTAATGAAGTGAAGAAAATTAATACACCAGCTTATAAAAACCTGAGATCAAGGTCTAGTAAACGACAAATACATTTTTTGAAATAATAAACCAATACTTATCAGGATGAGTAACAATTTAACATGTAAAATACTGGAAACTAATGAAAAATTTCAGAAAAACTTCTAGCATTTGCTGTAGAGTCCTATCCTCCAGAGCAGTAGGGACCCTGGAGGGCCCCTGTCAAAGGTCAGCCCTCCTTACAAACTGAAGGAGAAAGGACCGTTCTCACGGTCTTCTGATCCAAGGGGTAGTCTTTGATTTAAGAGATGATAAAGACAAGGACTTAAAAAAAAGATATCTTTAAAAGACAAGGTACCAAAATAAAAAATAGGCATATCTATCTATCTATTTATTGGGGAGGGGGATATAGTCGGTTTTTAAAAACACTTTTCTAAGTCTGACTACTACACCAGTTTACAGAGAACTGGTCACACAGATGCCTCAGATTCATTGTTATCAGGGTGGCAGCTTGTCTCAAAGAGCAGCTAGTTTGGTCCCATTGTTTACTGAGTCATGCTATTTCATTATACACTGTATGGCAAAATCTGAAGCATTAAATCCAGCCTTAAGGGTCAAATCCAGAACAGTGGTTTGACAATCATAAGCTAGTAACTAGGAGAGAGGACAGAGAAAGGTCAGAGTGAATGACTCTAGTCGTAAATTTCAGCCCATCCATCTTGAGCTGTTCAGCCAGAAGCAAGAAAAACTGCAGCAGTGGACTAAGATCTGGAAAACAAGATCTGATGGTCAAGGTTACACTAAGTATCAAACAAGGAAAAGCAAAGTCGAAACACAGGTAACTGCCAATGGGGCTGAAAGCCAATGGATTTTAAAAAACAAAGAACAACAACAAAAAAAGAGACGGCTCGGTCAAACAAGGAGCTTTGACTCTGAAAATGAAGATTAGGACTAAATGGATAGCAAAGCCAAGAAAACAAGCCAGGTTAACCCAAGAGACATGATTGGAGTTTATTCATTTACTCTACAGACATTTACTGAAGAAAGGCTATGTGCCAAGTGCTATGAATATATATATACGTGCTGGGCAAAAAGATCTCCAAATAGTAAGGGAGATGGATGAGATGGATACAGATTATTCCCTATGCTGACCTGAGATAGCAGCACACGCCTCTCTCACTTTATTCACATCTCTGCTCAAAGAGTTGTCCTGTCACTCTGTCCACATCACTGTCCTCTCACTCTGCTTCATTTTCTTCTTAGCACTTATAAGTACCTGACATTATTATGTACTTGTATTATGTATTTGTTTATCTGTCTCTCTGCACCAATAATACAAGTCCCAAAAAGAGAGGAATTACCTGCTTTGTGCACTGATGAATTTTCAGCACTACAACCAAGACAGCATATTAATAATTATTTCAATAAGTATCTCTTAAAAGAATGAATGATTGCATTGCTTTATAAAAACTTCAGTAACAGCAGAATGCACATAATATAGAGTTTATGAAAAAAAGAGGAAAATTATTGCTTGTTTGAGTAGCTGAAGGAATAGAGGAAAATTTGGAGAATCCTGGGGTTAATGTAGATACAGAGAAGCATACTGAACAACAAAAATCTCTGGCTACAGTGATCAACCACAAGAAAAAAATTTTCTTATTTTAAATGCTATGTTAGCTTAAACACTATAGAAGGTCAGCCCTGTTTTGCTAACTAACCTATCTTCTTAAAACGTGCATTTCATCATATGATACAGTCAAGAATCCAGACTCCCTCCTGCACAGCCACCTGAACCTAAACTTGAATTTCAAGGCCATTTATAAAAGTGGTCCTAAAAACTCTCTGTAGCAACACAACTCTTCAGCATAACCAGTGCCCCATCACAAAGATATGCCAAACTTTGGGCCAGGCTTGCTCCCACCTCAAGGCCCTTGCTCAGCCTTGAACCTTAATCTGAATGCCATTTTTTCTTCTTTTTCCCACTAATCTCATGCCTGTTCTTCAAAGGCTAGTACAAGTCTCACTTCCTCCTTTAGTCATTCTCTGACATCAATATTGCACAAAAACTTTTCCTCTCTTTGAACTTGTACTGGATGTATAGCCAATATCATATTCTTTCATGTATACAAGTTTTCTCTCTACAATTAGACTAAAAGAAACCTCCATTTTACTTCCCACAAGCACTTAGTGTAATACTAAGGACTCAGGCACTCAATACGCATATAGACATACATTTATATGTAGTTGATTAGTTGGCTAATTTCTGTTTTATATAAATCAAAAGAATTGATTCAATTGATTCTTACCAGATCAATAAGGCTTTCTTGTATTCTGTTTAGAGTTGTTCTTAGTCTACTACTACTAAGGCCTAGTCCTGTTGATTCCAACTGAAAAGAAAAAAGAAAGGCACGTTAAATCACTCTGGAGATAATCTTGCAAGTAAATGTTATAACTTCAGACTAACCGAAGTTAAGTATCTGATGAATTTTCATTCAGATACTTAGCCTTCAGAGGGTTTCTAAACTGCATTTAAAACTTCCAAAACATCAAGCAAAGAAGTCAAACCTCAGTACTTAAGGCAACAAGAGAACTATTTACACATGTGCATTTACAGGTCACGCTAACATCTTTCAATCTAATGCATTTATCAGGACAGAGTTCACAGAATTTCTTATCCACAAGTTATTATTTTTAGTTATAAAACTTAAGATTTTAGATACTTAAAGATAGTACACTGTGTTACATTCATGTAGAAGCATAATAATGTAGTGTTGCTAATATATTTTTCTGACACAAATTAGAGATAGCCTAAATCCTCATTCAAAAATTAATGAAAATTTTGTTTGGTTCAGTAAACATCTCACAGTGTAGAATTGTCTTCAGTAAAACAAAGCCAAAGCATTTATAAAAATCTTCACACAAGAACATAAATAAGAAGGGAGACTTGACTGTTAAGACATGAAAAGGCAGTTAGTTGGCTCCATGAGTGATGATTCGATTGATGAATATAAATTTAATTTAGAGGTCATCATAGAAACATATGGACATCTGAAAAAATGTTAAAATATCCTGTATGAGCCAATAAATGTAAAAGTTCAGAGACAGTGTCAAGATGGTGGCATAGGCAGACTCTCAGCTCACCTCCTCCCATGAACACAATGAATTTACAACTACTCTTGGAACAATTACCCCTAAGAGAGAATTGAAAATTAGATAAAAAGAATCCCCACAGAAAGGGACAGTGCTGACTCAGATGGAAGAGGCAGAAATTCCTTTCTGGAGAGAAAAAAAAGCTACCTTCTAATGATGACGCTTCACAGCCAGCTGGGAACAACCTTAAGGTACGCAGCCTTCCCTGGAGAAGTGGGAGATCAGAGTAGGGGAGCGTTACCATGATAAGCAGCTTTTGGACTCAGAACAACCAAGACAAGTGTCATAATACCTGGCTTTGCTGGCTATTAACTACAACAGGGAATACCCCCCGAAAAGCCTTCAGATATAAGGGAAAAAAAGCCAACTCTTAAAGGGCCCACACACAAATTCACCTGTTTCAGAAAGCAACCTAAAATCACCAGGAAGAAAGGTGCACAGTCCTTTGGTGAAAAGAGACTCACCTGACAGGCTCTGGGTGCATTCTGGTGAGAGATGAGACCTCTCCAGGGATTGAGACATTGGCAGCAGCCATTATTGTGACCTAGCAAAGGCATACTGACACAGATGATGGCTGACACCATTGGAGTTCTCCCTGGGGCCTGCTAGCCCAGGGGTCTGCCCCACCCACTAGAGCACAGATTTAATCCAGCTCAGCCAGGGCAGTCAACCCACCCTGGGACTGGTCCCACCCAACAGAAAGCCCTCGGGCAACTTGTGGGCCTGCATAGACAGGGTGCCTGGAACCTCTGCAACCAGGTGAGTGGGTCCGCCTCTGTGGGGCAGGGCATGTGCAAGGGGCAGGCCTGCACTGGTGGAGTGTGTGGGGCCTCTGCAGTGGGGCGACTGAGTCCACTTCAGTGGGTCAGGGCACACGCATGGGGCAGGACCGTGTTGATGGGGTATGTGGCCCAGTGGGCAGTGGGGCCTGTCAGCTGCAGCAGACTTCTGCTTGTCAAACAGCCAGATAGTCACCCTCACCTTCCAAAGCCTGAAACAACTGTGTGTTCCCATGCCTGGGGCCAGCCCCACTCAGCTTCAACCCTGAGAGAGCTGACAAGAGCCTTGCAGGCCAGAGGCCTACAGCAATTGTCAGCCCTGGAGCCTAGCAACCAGCCACACTAGGGACCTATCCACTTAACAGAAAAACTGCAACAGGAATGTGCTATTAGACCTTGTAGCCAATTGTGCTGGGGGTCCCCACACCTGATAAAGTGACTGAAAGGACTACAGCAGCCACACACAGCTGAGCATTACAACCAGCCACCCAGGGGGACAGCCTAGCCTCCCCAGGCACCAGCAGTAAGAGCATGACAGAAGGACACATACAGTCCACACAGGGGGCACTCCTGGAATATTTGGAACTGGTGTTGAGAGGGAAACAAATCATACATCTGATAAGGGGTTAATCTCCAAAATATATAAAATATAAAGAACTCATACATCTCAACAACAAAAAAAACTAACAACCCAATTAAAAAATGGGCAAAAGACCTGAAAGACATTTCTCCAAAGAAGATATACAGATGGCCAACAGGCACATGAAAAGATGTTCAACATCATTAACTATCAGAGAAATGCAAATCAAAACTACAATGAGATATCACCTCACGCCCGTCAGAATGGCTATAATTAACGAGACAGGAAACAACAAGTGTTGGAGAGGATGTGGAGAGAAGGGAACTCTCATACACTGCTGGTAGGAGTGCAAACTGTGCAGCTGCTATAGAAAACAGTATGGAGATTCCTCAAAAAATTAAGAATAGAACTACCATACGATCCAGCTGTTCCACTGCTAGGTATTTATCCAAAGAACATGAAAACACCAATGCATAAAGATATATGCACTCCTGTGTTCACTGATGTACTATTTACAATAGCGAAGATTTGGAAACAACCTAAGTGCCCATCAAGGGACGAATGCATAAAGAAGATGAGGTATATATACACAATGGAATACTACTCAGCCATATGAAATGATGAAATTCAGCCATTTATGACAACATAGATGGACGTTGAGGGTATTACGCTAAGCAAAATAAGTCAGAGGGACAAGGTCAAATACCATATGATCTCACTCATAAGTAGAAGATAAAAACAACAACGAACAAACACATAGAGACAGAGACTGGATTGGTGGTTACCAGAGGGGAAGCGGGGAGGGAGGAGGGCGAAAGGGATGATTAGGTACATGTGTGCGGCGATGGATTGTAATTAGTCTTTGGGTGGTGAACGTGATGTACTCTATGCAGAAATAGAAGCATAATGATGGGAGCCGGCCCTGTGGTGTAGTGGTTAAGTGCGTGGACCCGCTGCTGGTGGCCCGGGATTCGGATCCTGGGCGTGCACTGAGGCACTGCTTGTCAAGCCATGCTGTGGTGGCATCCCATATAAAGTGGAGGAAGATGGGCACAGATGTTAGCCCAGGGCCAGTCTTCCTCAGGGGAAAAAAAAAAAAAAAGAGGAGGATTGGCATGGATGTTAGCTCAGGGCTGATCTTTCTCACACACACACAAAAAGTATAATGATGTACACCTGAAATTTATACAATGTTATAAACCAATGTTACTCCAATAAAAAAAATAAAAAATAAAATACCTTCATAAATAAAATTAAAAAAATAAAAAAATAAATTCCTTCAGTTTTACAGAATCAAAAATAGTACAGTCTGAATTATAAGTTGTTCTATTTGAAGATATGCATATTTTCAATATTCACCTGGTAACTAAAAGCTAGTATTAATAAGCATAATCTAATAATTGGAAAAGTCTTTCTTAAAAGGTGCAACTAAGAGGCAGAGTAAATGCTACATTTACTCATACATACTCACTCATATGCACACTTTGCTTTGGTTCATATAACACAAACTGTCTCTAATACCATTTATGGGTAGACAGCGGGTTAAGGATAGCTGACAGCTAATTGTTTAAATACAATAAAATAGCTTTTCCTGAGTCTTACAGGATTAAAAATGCTTTTAATATAAGAGACAATGTGTTCTTTAAAACATAAATTTTAAATAAAATATGCAGTACATTTTACAATAAGCACCTATCTATACTTTGCTAAATTTCTCAGGTTCTAGTGAACCCCATTTTAAACAAATCTGTGCCAGTATATAAGTAGCTAAAAAGTCATGTCCAAAAGCATTTAGTTCCCAAAAGTTTCTGAAGGACCTTCTATTAATACATCTTATCAATAACATGGTCCAGAACTGTTCTACCCAATATGATAGTCACCAGCCATGTGTGACTATTTATATTTAAAGATAAATGAACTAAAATTAAATACCACTAAAAATTCAGTTCCTCAGTCACACTAGTCACATTCCAAGTGCTCAATAGCCACATGTGGCTAGTGGCCACCATATTAGTGCAAATACGGAACATTTCCATTACTGCAAAATTTCTCTTGGACAGCACTGGTCTAGCAGCATTGCCCAGAAGACAGAGTAAGGTTCATCTAGAAGACTGAAAGATTCTGACAATTAGCTAAAACTCTAGAATGTCTTTCTTCTTTAATATTTATTTATTGAGTTTCCAAATTCAGAATGATGAATTAGTACATATTTTATAGTAACACAAATTCTGCAGCAACACTTAGTCTCTGATTAGATTAGCCTTCTTTCTAAGGAACATTTTGCAGAATTAAGAACACAGGAAATTCAGATCCCATATTAAAGGATCATGTCTTTAATATACTTGTAATCACAGCAAGGATATGAACATTTATATGATGAATATAATTATCCATTAAAATTCACATTTTTTAAAAAATATACAGTATATAAAAAGTGAGTATTATGATATATTCACAGGAGCCAGCAGTATGCTTTTACACAGAAAACTGTCAAATATCTAGGTGACCCACATAATAATTCCCAAATACAGGATCAGTTACCTGCCTAATATTGTGTTGCTCTCCTTAGCAGTAGAAAAAGATAAATTCAATAAGAGCTTTGGAAACACAAAAAGGAGGTGCAGGAAACATTAATTCTGTGGCAGGCAGATGGTTTAGTTCAAAGATTTTCTATTATTTTAATAAATATTTGCCATTATTTTCTGAATAGTAGTGCCTGCTAAGGTTGTTAGCCAATATTTAAAATGTCTCATTTACTGTATAGTAATTAACACACTGGGCCATATTTAAACAAGGCAACCTGCACATTTTTCATTGCCAAAATATGTCAAGGTTAGAAACAGATGACGTACTTTTTCTGCCAAAAATTTGAATAACATACAATATGTTTATCACGACAAAGCTTATAATTAATATATAAATAAGGCAATTATGTAGAGAGAAAGCTGATATCAATAATTTTGTTGGATTTCTGATGGATAATTTTCAAAATAATGTTTTTTGTGTATTTTATACAGAGAGAATGAACATTAAAAAAAAATTTTTTTAAAGAAACACTTTCCCCTCAATGGTTGACTTACTGAATCATTCCGACCAAAAAAGGTATATATTGCATACAAGTAATAATCAAATAGCTGAGACATGAAATGGATAACATCAAAGGCAATTGGCTTAAGAATGTTCATCATCTGCATATATTTACCTGAAAGGAAAAAAAAATAAAAAATTAAGTAGAACAAAATTAAAATCTGTTAGTCTATTACTACAGAGACAATAAAAATATCAAAATATTTTAAAAAAATGAAATATTACATTCCTCAGTCACACCAGCCACATTTCAAGTGCTCAATAGTCACTGTGGCTAGTGGCTCCTGTATGTGACAGCACAGACACAGAACAGTTACATCACCTTGGAAAGTACTATTGGACAGCACTGATATAAATAATACCTACAAAGATGTTTTTATATCATTATATTTTCCTGTTTGTCAAATATTCACGGAACTCCTATATGCTTCTAGGAATGACACTGTACAAACACACAACACAGTTCCTCATTCTTGGAGATTCTATTAAAAATAATTTCTTCAAAAATGTTTAGGTGTAATAAAACAAAAAACAATGTACTTGAGAAAAAGTAGGGTTTTTTTAATAAGCTTATACACACATAGCAAAAATAAAAAAGCGAGAAGAAAAAGGACACACAGAAGGCACTTCCCATTGCCCTGAATCCCAGCCCTGAGAAATCTTGTGTCAGAGGCAAAGAACATTTCTTCATCACATCACTCAAGAGCTCAACACTCTCCAAGTGCCAAGAAAATATCCTTCTCATTCCTTCCTTTGGGAGATGACAACAGTCCATTCTCTTTCCTTTAAACATATGATACAGTTACAGAAAAAACTTAAAAACCAAAATTTCTGCACTTATAAACTTGTTAGTGTATTCGAAGGGTGCACGAGAGATGGGCTGAATCAAATAAGAGATAATAAGTCCCTAATTGTGTTTCTTTTTTATGAGAAATAATAGAGGAAAAAGTATATCTATAAAAAAATGTTCTTCTGCAGAAGATGTTAAAACAGGCCATTCGCTTAATTTCCACATGAGCAAATAATTCAGGTGCTGGCTCTATTTAAAGTAACTGCTATACATTTTAAACTGGTACTATTGAAGACCCTGTGACTCAAGAGAAAATGCATTAACTGCAGGAGAAAAAAATGACAAATTTACTCTAATGGAAATGTCTACTCTGGAAACCATTTCTTTATTATCTAAGAACTCAGTACATCTGTCTTAATTTAAATGAGAGATGATTCTAAATAGTCAGATGGTCAGGAATGGAAACACACACACACACACACATCAAAAAACTAAAACCATTCAACTCAGATTCTATTCTTACTCCTATTTACAAGTCTTTTGTTTCAAAATCATCTTTTCTAATTATTTCATGCAATCAGACTTTTTTTTAAAAAAAATCACAATTGAAAAATATTTGAAAAATATGCTCCTAGAACATTCTAGACCACCATGCAGATATTTCATCAACTACCGTTATTTAAACTGCAACTATTTACATACAAAATAATGTGACACTGTGAAGAAAAAAACTGAAAAATATATATGTTACATTACTTTAACCTGTAAAAGAAAAAAGAGAAATGAATATGTAGAATAAGGTAGAATGCAAATATCTGGATTGATACTCATTCAGAATACAAAGCTCCTCTCCATTCCTAATAATAAGATTAACCATTGTTCATATAATTAATCTTAAGGAAAAATATAAAAATGAATTATTAATAGGTAAAAGCTATTTTAAATGTGCATTCAGAAGGATAGAAAAACTAGATGTTTCCCCACCACTCTGAAAAAATCATTTTAAACATAATTATATTCATTCATTCAATACATTCGACAAACACTTTTTGAAGGCTTACTATGTACTTGGCCTTGTGTTAAGACAAAGAATTACCAAGTCCCTGCTCTCACACTTTAAATGATTAAGGCAGCCATCAATAAGGCTGCCAGTGTATTAAAGTGTCTAAGAGGGAGAACTCTGTCTTTCCAGTTCAAGAGGACAGAGTAGGCCTTTAGAGGAGGCTTATGTATTTCCTCAGACTTACTGAATTAAAAGAGAATTTTACAACATTATTAAGCCTATACCTACGAAGAGAAGAGGGTGAGGAGGTAAAGGCAGGTAGGTATGATCATCAGAAAATGAGAAATCTCAAAAAATTTCTAGACCAGGAGTTGGCAAACCTTTCCTGTAAAGGACCAAAGAGTAGAAAGTTCAGGCTTTGCACGCCACGCAGTCTCTGTGGCAACTACTCAACTCTGCCTTTGTAGCACAAAAGCAGCCATTGACAATGTGTAAACAAAGGACCGTGGCTGTATTCCAATAAAAATTTATTTACAGAAACAGGTAGCCAGATTATTTGGCCTGCAGGCTATAATTTCTTAACCCCTGTACTAGATGACAGACAGTAAATGGGAGCAAGTTGATGGAAAAACGCAAAGTCAATAAATCATAAGAGGACCACAAAGGAGGTGGAAGCTATTCAGTAGATGGTGACTGCCTAGAATCAGCAGGTACAGCAAGAGAGAAGGAGCGAGAAATGGGGCTGAAAAATAATGGATTAATTGAAGGTCCACATATGGGACAAACTGTACCAGTCCACGTGCCCCCTCTATCACTATCCCTTGCCAGCAGTTAGAGTACTGGCTACTAGAATTTTCCCAAAGATAAAAACAAAAGAAAATAAAAACCCTTAGGACTCCTCTCTAAAAAAAAGGAAACAAGGACCAGGCCAGTGGCATAGTGGTTAAGTTCACACGCTCTGATTTGGTGGCCCGGGGTTCGCGGGTTTGGATCCCAGATGCAGACCTACACATCGCTCAAGCCATGCTGTGGCAGGCGGCCCACATATGAAGTAGAGGAAGATGGGCACAGCTGTTAGCTCAGGGCTAATATTCCTCACCAAAAAAAAAAAAAGTAAACAAACTGAACAAAAAAAAAATGAGCAAACAAAAAAAACAATAAATAAGAAAAGCTAACGCTTCTAGTGTGGATGTCAGCACTATAGATTACAATCTACCTCATTCTGGGAATCTGGGGGTCAGTACCCATAAAGTAAAGGCTGCCAGTAAATCCACTCAGCCCTGCACTACTCTATACAAAGTTCCCAGTCAGGATTCCTACTGAGGAGAAAGAGCCAGCTTGAACACAGTTCTAATTAAGCAGCAGGGGACACCTACAACAGCTACATAAGCTTTCTATTTTAGATATGAATAGATAACAAAAAATCACCAGGCCCATAAGGAAAACTGAGAAAGTGAAAGTAAAAGAAAAGCAGATCCAGAGGAAACAGAATAATTCAAGCTAATGAAGAGAAATATAATAATTATGTAAAACCCTACAACAGGAGAAGATGGGGAAAAAAACAGAGAATATGGAAGGGCTTGTAAGATTAAAAATACGATTTTTAAAATAAAAAATTAAATATAAGAAATGGGAAAAAGGAAGTCTTCCAGAAGGTACTGCAAAAAGACAAGAATATGGAAAACATTAGAGAAAATATGAAAGACATAAAGGGCCAATCTAAGAAACTAAGCATTTGAGTAATGGGAAATCAAAGAAAAAGAGAACAGAGAAAATGGGGAGTTGGAAATGATCAAAGAAATAGTAGCATCAGTCACAGCTGCACATGAACCTTCAGACTGAAAGGGTCATGAATTACCCAACAACCGTAATGAAAAAGAACTCACACCTAGACACATCAATAGAGTTTTGAAACATGAAGGAAAAATATACTAAAAGCTTTCAGAGACAGAGAAAAGAAATTCACCTACAATAAAATGAATAGAACATTAGAGGTTTCCACCTTCCAAGGGAAAATAATTTTTAATCTACAATTCTATGCACAGCTAAATTGTCGTTCAGTGAAAGGGGAGAATAAAGACATATCCAGACTGACAAGAATTCAAAACATTTATCTCCCATCACCCTTTTCTGGGAAATTACAACTAGAAGACAGACAGACAGAAACAGACCAAGAAACTGCCTCCATGCTGGTGGCAGGGAACAGTGGGGAGGGAGACTGTTGCTTTTCATCACAAGCTCTTCTTTACTATTTAACGTGTTACTGTAAGATGTTACTACCTTGGTAAAAATATAAAAGCATAGCTCTGAAGTTAGCCTGCCTAGTTTAAAACATGTGGTCCAGATGCACTGTGCCCTCCCCTTCTCCCCTTCTAGAGTTCCCTACACGGGGCAAAGTGAGAGGAGTGGACACAGCATGCTTTGTGAACATTGAGGAAGGTGATCTAATATATAGCCCAGATGACCAAAAAGAGGTGTCTCTTCCCAAATTATCAACTGTGAGAAGTTCCTCTTCCTGCATCCAGCTTATACTATATAACCTATATTATACACTCTCTCTGAACTTTGCCCGGGAATAAGAATTAATGTTCCTCCACAGCAATTAGGCAAGAAAAAGAAATACAAAACATCCAAATTGGAAAGAAAGAAGTAAAACTGTCACTATTTGCAGATAACATGATATTATAAACAGAAAATCCTAAAGATTCCACCAAAAAACCATTAGAACTAATAAATTAATTCAGTAAAGTTGCTGGATACAAAATTAATATACAGAAATCGGTTTTGTTTCTATACACTAATAACAAGCTAACAGAAAGAGAAATTAAGAAAACAATTCCATTTACCAGTGCATCAAAAAGAATACAAGACCTAGGAATAAATTTAACCCAGGAGGTGAAAGATCTGTACTCTGAAAACCATAAGACATTGATGGGAAAAACTGAAGACAACAGAAATAAAAGGAAAGATATACCATGCTTATGGATTGGAAGAATTAACACTTTTAAAATGTCCATACTACCCAAAGCAATCTATGGATTCAATGTAATCCCCAACAAAATACCAACGGTGTTTTTCACAGAACTAGAATAAACAACTTAAAATTTGTGTGGAACCAAAAAAGACCCTGAAAAGCCAAAGCAATCTTGAGAAAGAAGAACAAAGCTGAAGGTGTCACGCTCTCTGACTTAAAACCATACTACAAAGCTATAGTAATCAAAACAGTATGGCACGGGCACAAAAACAGACACATAGCTCAATGGAATAAAATAGAGAGCCCAGAAATAAACCCACACATATATGGTCAATTAGTCTATCATGA